ATCATATATACGTATGTGTACATACACACACACACACACACACACACATACACACACACACAGGATTTGCTATTTCTGCAAAAATCCTTTAGCACTCAAGAAAAAGCAATCTCTTTGTAAACATTCTGCCTCTCCAATTTTTCTGGCTTTCAGTGTATAAACCTACATGGTTATTTATCACCCCCTTATTAAAAATAATTCAGTATCACACATCATGCTTAAAAGTTCTGGCACAGTGGTCTCTAACCTTTTAGTAGAAACTATTTTAAACTTCCCTGAAGTACTACTGTAGTTTACAAGAAGGCAGAAAATGACAGCACTCACAACAGAACATTATCACTACACTGCCTAAGAGCAGAGATCATATCTAAAATCTAATGCCCAGCACAATGCCTAACATGTCATAGGAGCATAATAAATATTAAAATATAAGGAACTATCTATTAGGCAGTTCAAGCAAAACGACAAGAAGGGGACCAAACAAGGGCAGGAACCAGATTCATCATATAAAAAAACTAGGCTTAAGGGGCTGCTATGTATCTCAATACTGGCTCAAGCCCCTTTATGCTTTGGATCAGAGCTTCATGAATTTTAACATGCATGACAATTCATCCTGGGATCTTGCCAAAATGCAGATTCTGATTCAGTGGTTCTAGGGTAAAGCCTGAGATTTTGCATTTCTAACAAGTGATTCTAACAAGTAATACAAACGCTGCTGATGTGGGAACTACAATTTCTGAGGACTGAAAAGGTGTTAGATAACGTATTTCAATAATATTCAAAACATCCCAAATCACAGATTACCTCAAATATTACCATTTCAATATTTGTCTTCACTAAAAGCAATCCTATATATTACACTCAATCACTTTTCAGAGCTTCAGATTCCACATAAACTGTAACTAGTCTTCAATCCATTTGCCATAGGTATAAGAATAAATTTTGGTGAAAAATACTGATGGTTTAGGATGAAAGACAAAGTACAATAAGTTTATAATTACTTGAATCCGTGTGTGCAGCTTGCTCATCACCAAGAGATTTATCTTTCTTTCATAAATATTTACTCAATACTTAGAAGTCTGTGCTTTTTAGTTATACAGGAAAACCTTACATTCCTACCTTTTTTACTTGAAACTCAGAAAAAACATGGATATGTCAATTCTTGTAGAAATTCAAAATTATTTTTCTATAAAGCTCTACCAAGGACTAGGCAAAGAGATAAAATTTATGTTTCCAAACCTGTTTGTATAGTTAATTGTGTTTATGCTGTGCTTGGTAATTTCCTTATCGAGATAATCAAATGTTTCAACAGGAGTTACCTCATCAAAGAGGTAATGACCAACATAAAAGTATATGCTACTTCCAATCAACTTTGACTATTCAAAACTTTTGTTTATACAATGAATTTAGCCAACCTGGACTCAACGTGTGCTATGAAAAGTTAACCCAATTGACTTTTGCTATAAATGTTTCTTATATGCTGACACAGAGGGATTATGTTGTTTGTGAACAGATATATTTTATTTAAAACTACCTGCTTGATGGTGGGGCACGGTGGGGCACGGTGGGGCACGGTGGCTCATGCCTGTAATCCCAGCACTTTGGGAGGCCGAGGTGGGCAGATCACGAGGTCAAGATATCAAGACCATCCTGGCCAACATGGTGAAGCCTCATCTCTACAAAAAGTACAAAAACTAGCCAGGCGTGGGGGCGCAGGCATGCAGTCCCAGCTACTTGGGAGGCTGAGGCAGGAGAATAGCTTGAAGCTGGGAGGCAGAGGTTGCAGTGAGCTGAGATCATGCCACTGAGATCACCAGCCTGGTGAGAGCAAGACTCCCCAGAAAAAATTAAAAAATGATGTGCTTGTTGCTTAGTCTTCATTTGTAAACAAGAAAACTTTATTAATTTGCTGAACAAAGTCCTCAGTCACAAAACAAGGTAAAGATGAAATATCCTCTTAGAATTCAAATTGGAAACCATGGTTATCTTAGCACCATATGTAAACCACCTGAGGTATGTGGTATATATGTATGTGTTATGTGTCCATGTGTATGTGTATAGACCTATACAGTTAGCCCTCCATAACCACGGGTTCTGAATCTGTGGATTCAACCAGCCTCGGATTGAAAATATTCAAGAAAATAAAACAAACTGTGTTTCTACTGAACATGTACAGACAGTTTTTTCTTGTCATTATTTCCTAAACAGTACAGCACAAAAACTATTTACACAGCACTAACATTGTGCCAGGTATTATAATCTACAGATGACTTAAAATATATGGGAGGATATGTGGTTATATGCAAATACTACACCATTCGTATGAGGGACTTGGGCATCTATGGATTTTAGAATCCAATGCAGGTCCTGGAACCAATTCCCCACTGATACTGAGGGAACATGAATCCATGAAACAAAATCATATTTTCTAAGGCCCTAGACATTTCATGAAGTTTTTTAAAGTCTAAAACAACTTGTTTTAACTAGTACTCATTAAATTCAACCCAAAGGATTTATTGAGAATCTACTATGTGCATCACTGGTTTAGGACCTCATGAATAAGAAAGAAGTACAGGTTAAACATCCCTAATCTCAAAATCCAAAATCTGAAATGCTCCAAAATCAGAAACTTTTCAAGTCCCAATATGACACTCAGTGAAGACTCTCATTGGAGCATTCTAGATTTCAAATATTTAGATTAGGAATATTCAATGAGTATGTATTCTGCAAATATTCCAAAATCAAAAAAAATCTGGAATCCAAAACACTTCTGGTTCTAAGCATTGCAAATAAGATAGAGTCAACCAGTTTATGTCATAGTCCTCATGCTAAGTTTTACATATTTTTTAACCAAACATTGTATATGTTAAAATTAAGTGAATTTAAATAAATAATTATACTTTCCAGAAAGCATTTCTTTGCATCTTCAGCATTTCTATTCCAGGACACACTTATCTGAGGAAAATAAAAAATAATTTACCTGGTTCAGTAAGTAAAGAATCTTTGTAAGAATATGCAAACATCTTCTTGGATTGATGGGAGTTTCATTGAATATACGAGCCTATGAAAAAAACAAGAAATTTTTATTTTCCTACCTTGTCTATCATAGATTATAGCAAATCAACTTTAATAGTTTCTAATCACAGTGTCCAAATAATATTGAGTATAGTTCTCAATTTACTAAAGTATCTGATAAATTATTAAATGTGGCCTTGATTGTCCATCCTATACTTTCTAACTCATTCCATTAGGAAGACTACTTCAACTTTATGCGTTATACAAATTAAATAAGGATCACAATACTTATCTATATCATACTAACACAATGAGCTATAGATAACTGATTTCAATAACTTTGCACTAAACACCTTTTCTTACATAAAATTCCCAACCTGTGGCAAAGCCTTCATGCCTTTGCATTTCTACAAGCTCTAGACTCTTCTGTGACAAGTAACCTCTCTTCCTTTTCCCTCAAATCTGTATTCTCTAACCTCTGTTACGTTCCTTATTTTGGATATTGTGATCATAGCAGCCCAGGAATTCTCTGCCCACCACTCTAAAACAGAATAGAAAAAAAAGAGCACAAGATACTTCCCAGTCATACCTCCTGTAAAACAGCACTCTTCTCCAGATGCTGGAAAGGGTTGGAGCCACTACCTATTTATAAAACAAAACATGTTTGAATAGCAGCTGTCCTACACAAACGTATATACTTTCCAGAGAAGGGTATTGAATGCTTGGGAGGTGACCACTGGGATATCACAGTGATAATCATTGCCACTATGCATACGAACTGAATGAAATCACTTTGATCCTGGCTCTGTCACTGCCATACTTGAAGAGCAGGGACTTCTTTTGCAGCAACCCTCTCCAAAATGAGTGTCTTCTTTCCCTGCCCTCTTTTTCCATCAATGTTAAAAATGTGTCATTTCCACGACAACGAAGATTAATGAGATTGTGGTAGGGTGCTTTTGATTTCCTTAGGCACTATTTTGTGTTTCTAGCACTTGAGATGCAGAAACGAAGTTTCCCAGAGAATCATGCAGACGTAAAGCTGCAAGGGGCGGTGGAGGTTGACTAACCCAACCCTGTCTCACACTATGGGAGTTGCTACCAAATATTGAGAATTTTTTCTTTTTGAGGATGCTTGGCATCTCCCTCATTTGCTCTGGACCAAAGATGGGTATCAAGACGCAGGTCACTTATGGACGCCTGAGATTCATCAAGCTGTGTCCCACGGGACAGTCTCGCCCCCTGGGAACCGGACAGAGCCAGGGGCCCCAGGAAAACTATAAGGTAGCAGGAACCTGAATGTTCCTCCACACACACCCTATGCCGTCGACCCCAGCCCCGGGAACAGGGTTCTCCCACTCGGGGTCAGACCCTACCGCACCCCTTGCCGCGGAGACGCGCGCAGGGGCGGAGGCGGGTCCGAGGGGGCTGCGCCGCGGGAGGGGCGGGGTCGGGGCGCGCGCGGGCGCCGGGGCGAGAGCGCGCGGCCGGAAAGAAGGCTCTGGCGCCCGGGGGAGGGGCTACGGGCAGGCCCCGGGCGGCCGCGAGGGGAGGGGAGGGGCTGGCTCCAGCTCCGGCCCCCTGGCACAGCCCACGCCCCCAGCCCCGCCGGCCCGAAAGCAGGTGGTGGCGGGCGGGCGGGGGATGGGGCGCCCGCGACTGAGGGTAGGCCTCGGAAGCCCCGCGCGTACCAGACTCCTCGTCCTTCTTGTCGAATTTTTTAATCATCTTGGACGACTTCCCAGCGCCCAGACCCACCGCAACCGTCCCAGGCACCGCAGCGGGCGAGCGGAAGAGGCTGCAGGAAGGCCGGCCCCGCGCTCTCACGCCGGTTGGGCCGCCGCGCCGTCACTCGGGGCCAAGGCCCGCCCTCCCCTGCCGCCCTCGGCTCCCTCGGGACGCAGCCACGCCCTCTCCTCCATGCACGGCCTGGCCAAGGCTTCGGCGCGATCCGCCTGGCCAACGACCCGGGAGCCCACGCCGGCGGCAGCAGGAATGTGGTTTTATTTCATTGGCGACTTTCATGCGGACCCTTCAGTCTCAGAAGAGCGAGGCGGGAGGCCTGAGGGGTCTGTGTTCACCCGGTGACCGTGGCCTTTTTGATCATGCACAGCGGAGCCCTCCCGTTGCGGAAGGCGCCCTCCCCGGGCGCGGTTCTGGTGGGCATCTCTTCCAGGAGCGATGCGAGTGTCAGTGGTTCCCGAATCGCCTTGGAAATCAGCCTTTCACTCGCTAACTTCTTGGAAGCTACGACAAAGCACAGGCACTCTGGTGAATGTGGCTTTTCAAAAGTACTCGAAGGATGCTTAGTGTGAGACGTGAAGGAGACCACTTGGAGGGACCAGAGGCTGGTCTTTAAAAGAGGGTAGATTTTGGACTGTGGACTACCACTCCCTACCTACTTTATGATTTTGGATTCCTTCATTTTATCAAAATCCATTGTAAAACACACTGCCAGTTTAGAGCCCTTGTTCAATCCTGCTTCTTTCAATGATTCCATCTGAAACCATATTGACACTTAAGATTAACTCTTGCTGAGTTAGCGTGCATTCATTTGTAATTCATGTTCCTCTTTTTCTCAGAGTGTATCCGGCTTTCTGTTCTCTTGTCTAAGAGTGTGGCTAAGAAACTGCCTGCCTTTGGCTTCAATGGCATTACTGTTTAGAAATGTAAATTAGGTCTATATTCAACAGGTTCGTGCCCCTGCAAAATTAGAGAAATTCTAACTTAGATTACAGTCTACATCCTAGAAAAAATATTTCCCTTAAATATAGGTTTAGGATGAACTGTTGATATCCTGCATATGGTATCATTTAAGATTTAACTCTGACTTGACTAAATGTACTATTAACTATTATGTTTGCTTTATGTGGCTTATAAAGTTCAAGTCATACTTCATAGGTGGCGTTTTCCTTGAAGGAAATAGGAGTCTGCACTGATTTATTCTGAGGGTGAGAATGAACAGGCTTTGGGGAAGGAAACATCCTCTTCCTCTTCCTTGGCCCAAGGGTACTGGGAACCTAGGCAAAGACAGCGTAGATAGGCTGAGAGATTCCCAAAAATGGGTAATGCCCTGGAGACCTGCTGGGAAGTAGAAGGACCTGAGTTCAGATTTTAGGCTGACCCTAAGACTAGCCCCTGGTACAGCAAGATAAATCATTCTCTGCTGTTACTCAGTTTTTCTCTATCTCTGAAGTTTTGTTTAATACCGCAGGTTGTTTTTCGCTGTACAGTATTTAGGGAGTTAAGAGCAACAGGAGGTGGAAGTGGAGTGGGATGTGGTGGCAAATAGGTATTGCAGGAGCAGAGAAGCCTGAAGAAGCCATTTAAGGGATGGTATGTTACGGACCCCAGGCCTCTGGTATCAGGACTATTTCAACTGAGGATAGCTGGCAAAGTGGTTGAGCAATCACTACGATGGCTCTGTGGGACAGGCAAGGAGACTTTAGTGAGTTTTAGAAATTGCTTGAGGAGAGAAACCCAGTAGGAGAAATGGACCTTATCTTAAAACCATGGGCTGGTGAAGTCTGAGTACCCACCAATTATATATCTAATACACAAATGTGTGCTCAGTGCTCTGAAATTCTTCAGTGGGTCCAAACTGCCTACTGTATAAAGCCCAAACTCTTTTTTAAATATTTAAGGCATTGTGGTATTTTTGGTTTTGTTATTGTTGTTTGTTTGTTTGAGACCGAGTCTCCCCCTGTCGCCCAGGCTGGAATGTAGTGGCGCGATCTCGGCTCACTGCAACATCCATCTCCTGGGTGCAAGTGATTCTCCTCCCTCGGCCTCCCAAATATATGGGATAACAGCCGCACACCACCATGACTGGCTAATTTTTTTTTGTATTTTTAGTAGAGACAGGATTTCACCATGTTAGCCAGGATGGTCTCAATCTCCTGACCTCATGATCCACCCATCTTGGCCTCCCAAAGTGCTAGGATTACAGGCATGAGCCACCACACCTGGCCATTTGTTTGTTTTTCAGACAGGGTCTCACTCTGTTACCCAGGCTGGAGTGCAGTGGCACAGTCACAGCTAACTGCAGCCTTGAACTCCTAGGCTCAAGCGACCTTTCTTCTGCAAGCCCTCTCAAGTAGCTCACACTACAGAGACATGCCACCACACCCTGTTAATTTTTTAACATTATTTTTTGTAGAGACAGGGTCTCACTATATTGCCCAGGCTAGTGTCAAGCTCCTGGCCTCCAGCAATCCTCCAGCCTCAGCCTCCCAAACTGCAGGGATTACAGACATACCCAGCCTCTCAAGGATTTTTACGATATGTTTCATCTCTTTCACATATTGAAAATACTATTATTGGTGCTTGATAAGGGTCTAACACTAGTAGGAACCCTAGAAATATGTTAAATAAAGGGTAATATGTGAGGAGGATTCTCATTGTACCCTCTGCCATGCAACCCTATTCCAAGCCCCTCACGATCCCCTACCCCAATCCCAGAGACTTTTTGTACCTCTAAGACACACAGACTTATCCTTTGGCCCATTTAGAGCAGTTTTTCCTCAAAGTATAATATGCATACCACTGGGTGGTTCTAGGTGGTACGTAGATAAACATTTTAAAATTTAATTGTTATAAATTTGACTTAAGTGTTTCAGAAAAATGTATAATTTGTACATCAAAACCATGATGTCAATGCTATAGTATTAATTAGGACAAGAATTTTTTAAAAGCCTTTTGAAGAAAAATGCTAAGTAAATAATAGAGCAAATAATACATCAATATGGCAAAAACTCTTAAAGTGGTAGGTGATGTAGCTTAGGAAACACTGCTAGAGCTTTCTTGAAATTTGAGGATTTAAACAGAGTGCAAAGCTTTGTACCTCCTGAGCCTCTATTTGTTATTAGCTTCCATGCTATAGGGAGAAATAGTTTCCACAACCACGAGAGAAGCCAGTTGGCCACATCTAGAATCCTCATGGATTTTAGCTCTAGCCCACATCTCAGTCCAGTAAGCCTTTGCTTTGGAAGAGAGGAGCTTACCATCTTTCCTCATCTCTCTCTCACAGACTGGAGCAAAGGTGAGCTGAGGGTACATTTTTTTCTGTGTCCTCAAAGCGTAGATTTTTGAATACTTCCCTTCGCTCTTGAAATCATTGTCGGTGGAAAACCTTAACAAAGAAAGTTCTTTTTTTAGTAGATGCTAGGGCAGGGGATGCATGAAACCATTTACTTTATTTTATTGATTTATTTTGAGAAAAGAATCTCATTCAATCACCCAAACTGGAGTGCAGTGGCATGATCTTAGCTCACTGCAACCTCTACCTCCTAGGTTCAAGTGATTCTCCTGCCTAAGCCTTCCAAGTAGCTGGGATTACAGGTACTTGCCACCATACCCAGCTAATTTTTGTATTTTTAGTAGAGACAGGATTTCACTATATTAGCCAGGCTGGTCTCAAACTCCTGACCTCAACTGATCTGCCCACCTTGACCTCCCAAAGTGCTGAGATTATAGGCATGAGCCATCACACCCAGCCCCACCATTCACTTCAAAGTTAGCTACATTCTCAGAGAGGACAAGGCAATGACAGGAGGCTGTTGATTGGTGCCAAGCAGGAGTATTGTTCCACGGCAAGGGATGTTTCTGAACTTAGCACTGTAAACCTTTGGGGGAACTCCAGAATCTTCTCTCTCCTCTCTAAACTACACGTAGGCTGCTCTTGTAAGTAGTTTCAAATAAAACCACTTTTGTATAACATGTTCTCATAAGACATTATTCCGATGCTATAGCGCCTAACTTGCAGTGAGGCTACTTCTTTTTTTTTTCTGTTTCTTCAAAGCACAGACCTTGGAATATTTCCCTTCAATCATGAAACCATTGCCAATGGAAAACCTTAGTTTTGCATGACTGTTTCTCTTTCATTAGAGTGTAAATGAGGTTAGGGTCATGTAGGGAAGTCGTGTCTTATTATCGGTGTACAACCAAAAAATATGTCCTTAAATTTTGCAGCAAAGAACCAGTAACATGAACAGGGAAAAGACAGGAAAGAAAGCTAGTACAAGAAGAAGGAAGACTTCACCTAAACCATTGTTCTCGCGTGGATGTAGGATCGTCCGACAGTATCAAAGGGAAGATTGGTCTCAGCTTAGATCTTAATTTTTTTTTCTGAGGCATCAAGGGCAGCCAGGGGTTCTCAGTGGGTTTGTGCTGATGATGACTTTCCTGTAGGGAAACAAAAGGAAAAAAAGAGTGAGAGATAGTAAGCTGAGTCCCTGGGGATTTAAAGGCTGGACCAAATTCCTAGACTAAGTTCTAATTCCCTTACAATGATGCAAGAAAACCTGTCAGAGGGGGACATAGGAACTCAGAAACCAGAATCAAAGAAAGCAGTTCCCTGGAAGGGAAAACACACTACATTTGGTGTTCTTGTCCAAAGCCTGGTCAGTTTCCTAAGTGACTAAATTTACTTACTGGACCTTGGAAGTGAATGGCAGAGAAAGTTACCTAGCCTGGGGAAGGATTCAACCAGTGAACTCCTTGGGAAACTAAATATTTGACAATAAATTGGGAAATAGATCAATAGGACTCTACCTTCTTTTCTTGAAGATGACTGCCTCCTCCACATTCCGTTCTCCTTAATGAGAAGGCCATGGAATGGGATGTTGTGAGTTAACAATTACATCGTTCCTAAAGGTCATGGAATCAAAGTCTTTCAGAAAGAATCTTTTTTTTTTTTTTTGAGATGGAGTTTCACTCTTGTTACCCAGGCTGGAGTGCAATGGCATGATCTCAGCTTACCGCAACCTCCGCCTCCTGGGTTCAGGCAATTCTCCTGCCTCAGCCTCCTGAGTCGCTGGGATTACAGGCACGCGCCACCATGCCCCGCTAATTTTTTGTATTTTTAGTAGAGACAGGGTTTCACCATGTTGACCAGGATGGTCTCGATCTCTTGACCTAAGTCATCCATTCTGTTTATCTGACACTCAGCCTCTCCATAATCTCACTATCAAGTGGTCAATGTTTCTATACCTAAAAAAAGAAAAAGATTTCATCTTTGATCAGCCATTAGATTTCTCCCTGTAACCTTTACCCTGTAGTCCAGACAGAACAAATCTAGCCTTTCTTCCTCAAAGTCCTTAAACATTTTGAAGAAATCCATCACATTCCTCCTAAGCTCTGTTTTTTCTAGGCTAAACATTGCCAATGTCCTGAACTTTTCTTCCTATGACATGCCTTTGGGTTCCTTTTCTTTTTTTTTTAATCTAATTTGAGAAAGCTACAATTCATGTCCTAATGTGTGGCAATCTGAAACGAAAACAATATGTTGGGTATAATAATTGCATGGCATAGATACCCTGACCCCATGAAAGTGTCTGTTCAAAAGTTAGCTGGATGTGGTGGCTCACTCCTATAATCCCAGCACTTTGGGAAGCTGAGGCGGTGGATCATTTGAGGTCAGAAGTTCGAGACCAGTCTGACAACATGGTGAAACCCCATCTCTACTAAAAATACAAAAGTATTAGCCTGATCTGGTGGCAGGCTCCTGTAGTCCAGCTACTCAGGAGGGTGAGGCAGGAGAACCGCTTGAACCTGGGATCTGGAGGTTGCAGTAAGCCACGATTGCGACTCTGAACTCCAGCCTAGGTGACAGAGTGAGACTCCGTCTCAAAAAAAAAAAGAAAAACAACAGCGAAGAGTCATCAATTCTGAGAGCCTTCTTAATGGCACTTACATTGCCACTGACATTCATCACATTCCATCTCCTTATCTTGCTTTGTCATGGCATTTATCACATTATACGTTATCTGTGTGATGATTTAGTTGTTTATGGTCTAAGTCACTAGAATTTAGCTTCATTAGAGCAACGAATTGGTCTTAGTCATTAATATATCCCAAGCATCCCCAATAATGCCTGGCACTTAGTAGGTGTTCAATAAACATTTGTTGAATGAATAAATGACCAAACTAACATATTGAGCTTTTGCTATCAGAATCATAAAGCCTTTTTGTCTTTAACACTTGCTGTTTCTGAACCATGTCTTTTCAATTCTGAACTTATTCTCTTTAAGCTTTTCTATTAGGCTGGTATAAAACTAATGGCAGTTTCGCAATTATAATGGCAAAAGCTGCAGTTACTTTTGCACCAACCTAATTATTTTAAGGAAAAGAAACCCATTTGAGTCATCTTAAATAATAGGTGTTTTACTGTACAAGCACATGTGCCTAGAAACTAAGATATAGATAACTATCCAGCCATAAGAAGAGCAAAAACTTAGCAGAGCTGGACCTTATAGCAGAAAAACAGTAACTGGAAAGGTATTTGGAATCCAAGATGGAACTAGGGAAGGACCACTGTCTTAACGCAAACATATTACTCACATGTTTCTCCTATTTTCTTCCTATCTGCTTCCTTCTCCTCCCTCTACCTTGTTCACTCCTCACCTTTATTCCATACATATATGGGTTTCTTCTACCTATAGCTTCTGCTTATTCACTTCTACTTCCTACTTCCCTGTAACTTCAGCCTTCCCATACTCTACTTCACAGCTTCCTCACTATCTTTCTTCCTCAGGGTTTGAGTCCTTTATAGCCCCACTCTATGTCCTTTTAGCTTTCATTCCTACTACTTCAATCTTTCATTTCTCAGTTAAGAGACCTGGAAACAAGAATCTGATTAGCTCAGGGATTCTGGGTGTTGGTAGGTTGGTTGGTTTTTGTTTTGATTTGGGTGTTTTTTTTTTTTCTTTGAGACAAAGTCTCGCTCCTCCGCCAGGCAGTGGCACAATCTTGGCACACTGCAACCTCCACCTCCTGGGTTAAAATGATTCTCCTTCCTCAGCCTCCCGAGTAGCTGGGACTACAGGTATGCACCACCACACCCAGCTAATTTTTGTATTTTTAGTAGAGATGAGGTTACACCACGTTGGCCAGGATGGTCTCAATCGCCTGACCTTGTGATCCGCCTGCCTCAGCCTCCCAAAGTGCTGGGATTACAGGCATGAGCCACCATGCCCAGCCTGTTTTGGTTTTAGGGTACCAATCCACATCACAGGTCACTACCCAACCTATGAATTTTGCTTTGCTTGGTCTGATATCCTCCTCTGGTCTTAGCTAGGAGTGGGGACAGGGCCGTATTGTACAAAATAGAATCTCTTAGGACATTGCCTTACTCAGGAGACTGTGGTAGGGTCTGTTTCACTTAGAGAGGCTGTTAGTATAACAATCACTGTAATAGATGTATTTAGTACATTCCACAACTTGCCTACTAGAACTCATGCTGTTTTTGGATGCATGCCCGGGTATAGCAAAGAATGCTTTTCTTACATATGATCCTAGATTTACAAAAGATTATCACACTTGTCCAGCAAGGGAAGGAAAGGATGCTGCATGAATATTAAAGAGGCATTGTAGATATCAGATGTTTCCATCTTATTGGGCTGGTTCCAGTTGGATAGCCCCATAAAATAACCATTGTGCCAGACTTTGAGCCTTAATCCTGTCCATTAATACAACTTGGAGCCTTAACTCTGTTTGTTAATACAACTTGGAGCCTAACTCTTTCCATTAATACAATTTGACGGTACTACAGTTTGCTCATCAATATGATTAGGCTCTGCACCTGAACCGGAGGGTTCACGAAGTAGGCAGGCTATTGGAAGAAAGCTCTTCCTGTACCCAGTTTATATGATAGCTTTGTATTTCCTTCTGCACAAGAAGCAGGGCAGTCCTGGCCTGGCATTCATCCCTTTCTCAATGTATGGTCCACCCACTGCCATGGGAAACTACCACTGAGCTTACCTTCAAAGGGCACAAATTCTGAGACCCAAAAGACCACAGGCAGTAAATTCATTAACTCCTTTGTTAGTATATATTATTGGATATCAGCATTTCATCTTCCTCTTGGAGGGTATCTCTCACTGCCATCCATCTAGCAACTAAGGAAACACTAACTCCAAATTCACCACATTTTAGTATAAGGGTCTCACTTGGGTAATTCCACACCCAGCATCAACTTTCTACTAGAATCCTTTGTTTGCATTTTCACTTAACTCATTGATTTAATTTGTTCTTGTTAAATTAGACTTGCTCTCAAGGCTGTCAAGACCTTTTTAGATTTTGATTCTTAAATATCTCTTAATAATTCAATTTTCTCTACTTCCTATGCTAATGATTTAGTTCAAGTCTTCAGTATCTCTCACCTTGACTACTGTAACATCATAACATCTTTCTCGGGTTTGTCTCTTCCACAACTACTAATGCACATTTCTTCAACCTCCAAAATAGTCTTCCTAAAGTGCAAATTTGATTGCATCCTTTTGTCTCCTGCCATTTACTCCTTTTTTTTTTTTTTTTTTTTTGAGGTGGAGTCTTGCCCTGTTGCCCAGGCTGGAGTACAGTGGCACTATCTCATCTCGCTGCAACCTCCACCTCCTAGGTTCCAGCAGTTCTCCTCCCTCAGCCTCCTGAGTAGCTGGGACTACAGGCATGCACCATCACGCGGGGCTAATTTTTGTATTTTCAGTGGAGATGGGATTTCACCATGTTGGCTAAGCTGGTCTCGAACTCCTGACCTTGAATGATCTGCCTGCCTCGGCCTCCCAAAGTGCTAGGATTACAGGCGTGAGCCACCATGCCTCACCCTGCCATTTATTCAATTACATCTTCCTGAATGCACCTCATTTTCCCATGTCTCCATTCCTTTGGACTTTCTTCAGATTTGATATTTTCCTGTTCTTTTGTCATGGGTCACTTCCCTACTCACTGTCTTTTCCCCAAAAGAAATACTGTATCCTGCATTACTTTTGTATCTTGTATATTCTTCTATTACTTTTACATATCTCATTTATTGATCTCTCTCCTATTAGACTCCAGGTTCCTTCAAGATAGAGACTGTCCTGTAATCATCTTTATATTCTGGTTTTTAGCTTATTGTATGCTCAGCAATTGCTTATTGAGTAGAATTTGAACTTCTTTAGTCTATAAAGGAGTTTCAAAGGTTTGGCTAGTGTGATGGTAAATTCCCTCTTCTGAAACCCAAAAGCAACGTGTATTAAAGCATTATCCTTTACTCCTTTCCCATTTAGATATTACAGCTGTTTTTAGTCCTCATTTCCTGACTCATCTTTTACTACTTTGTTCTCAACTAGAAAGTCAGTGGCCAGTCTACCCTTTGTTAGTTACAAATTAATTATCTTTGGTCAAAGAGGAGCACTGTCCAATGAAGACCCCATTTTCTCCCTACAATGAAGTTTCAATGCCCAAGTTTATTGAATTCTGATTCCCAGGTTCTCCAGATGCTGTTTTGTGAAGCATACGACCAGGAATAAGAAGGAAGAGATAGGCCAAGTGCAATGGTTCATACCTATAATCCCATCAAGTGATTCTGGAGAATCACTTGAGCCATGAGTTCAAGACCAGCCTGGGCAATACAGTGAGACCCCCGCCTCTACAAAAACAATTTTTAAAAAATTTAATCGGGCATGGTGGTGCACACCTGTAGTTCCAGCTACTCAGGAGGTTGAGATGGGAAGATTGTTTGAGCCCAAGAGGTCAAGGCTGCAGTGAGCCAGGATTGTGCCACTGCAGTCTGGCCTGGGTGACAGAGTGAGACCCTGTCTCAAACAAACAACAAAAAAAGGAAGAGGTAGTTTCCTGAGTACCATTCTCCATGTTAAGTTAGCCTCCTTCTCAAAGCTGACTCCTAATTCTCCAGGGTACACATTTCGGGTGCCAGGAGACTTCTGCTTACCATGATCTTGCGCAGTAACTCCTTGGAAAAGTATTTTGATGCACTCTCCTTGTCTTGCTGGGTGATTGAGCAGGGAGGTGGGTTGTTGGTCATAATCAGTAAGGTCTTATCCTGGTCATACTCTGTTACTTTTAACATGAAGCTTGTGGTTTTCTTGTTTTGAGCCAGGAATTTCTGTAGTGCATTTGCCTTCAAAGGCTTGTAGTACTGGGCCTGAGCAGACAGAAAGGTTTCCAGAGAGGAAAAGAGATTAGGTCAACAGCAGGTTAACAAATCATCTGGCTAATACTTTGCCTCTGTGGGGTAAGAACAGAAGCTGGACAAACTTGCTGCAAAATTTCTGGGGTTTTTTGTTTTTTTGAGATGGACTCTCACTCTGGAGCCCAGGCTGGAGTGCAGTGGCATGAGCACGACTCACTGCAACCTAGACCTCCCAGGCTCAAGTGATTCTCCTGCCTCACCTCCTAAGTAGCTGGGATTACAGGTACATGCCACCCTACCCAGCTGATTTTTTTGTGGGTTTTTTTGTTTTTGTTTTGTAGAGATGAGAGTTTTGCCATGTTGCCCAGGCTGGTCTCAAACTCCTGGGCTCAAGCGATACCCGTCTCAGCCTCCCAAAGTACTGAAATAACAGGAGTGAGTCATCACACACAGCCCTAAAATGTGTGTATCAGAAACTGTCTGAAGCTCTCAGTCCCTCTCTTCCCTTGAAGCATTCCCCTGAAAATGGTTTCAATGGTAAAAGGAGTCAGGTAATTTAATTCTTCCAACATAGTGGCACAAGCAGAAAAATTTCTATGTGGCTAAACCTAATTGGCCTTGTCTCTACAACTCTCTCTAAGGTATGGGGTGGGGGAAAACTACCAGGGACCAAGTCTTGCTCAGGGAGTGCTTCAGGAGTAGGCACAGCCAAGGGCAACACCTTTCCATATTTACGCCTTCCCACACACAAACATTTCCCAGGCACAGCCACATTAGCATGCATTCACAAACACAATGTTAAAAAGGAAAAGCAGTCATGAAAGACAGCCTGTCACTTAAGGTATGGGTGAAGAAGGGGCAGTCCCACTACATTCGCTTTTCTCTCAATAGGAGAAAGGCAGAGGGTTAGAGGGGAAGGAAGTGAAAGGGAAACAGTGGATTATAAATATATATTTTTTTCTGACTATAATATGTTTTCTCCACTTAAAAAAATCAGCTATGGGGACCCACTTTCTTCCCAGTTTTCGTCTCCCACTTTGCCACCCCAGTTCTCAGCACTGCCTCTGGCATCATAACCTAGCTGCAGCTCTGCCTGCCTGTCCCAAGAGTATGCACACTCACAGAAGCTGGGGACACTTGGAGGCATTAGGGACACCTACAGTGGGCATCTGCGCCACTGCTGGAACTTCCCCTTAGAGATCCTGGGGGAACGCTTTTTCCACCTACCAAATTTGGATGCACTGTGTAATGCCGAAGGTTCTTTAGAACAAATTTTGATCTCCCGACTGCATCAAAAATCTAAAGACGATAATCAAAGTTAGTGGTTTGAAGTCGCACCGATGCTAAACAGTATTCCATTCCTTACCTCACCTTAGTCTCTCCAGAGAACTGCTCTCTACCTCACACTAAGTGAGAAGTACAGTGTGCTTCATATTTTGTACTCTGGGTTTCTGGAACAAGGGCCTCAACAAGGGAACCTGGATTCTAAGACCTCCTGACTGTGACATGTGTCAGTAGAAATGGGGCCAGCCTTATGATACATCAGGAAAAGCCATTAGAAGGGAAGTAGACAAGGGCAGCATCGGTTCAGATTGGGACAAATCTCTCCAAGGAGTCACCTCTTTCTTAAGCCATTTCCATAGAGATAGGAGTGAAATGAAGTGGAAATCAACATAGAGGACAAATCTTTAAGCAGAAAAGCAAGTCTCAAAAGGGCATTAACCTTAAAGTTGTGGGCACAAGGGGGCCCTAGGACCAACTCTGCCAACTGAACTGGGAGCCGACCTACTCACAGAGAGAGAAAGAAGCAGCGGGGCATGTTGCAATTTTGAACATCTCTGCAGTAAACAGTTCTTCCAGAAGTGTTGCAAAAATAATTGAATTTTGGTAACACTTCTGTCTACCACTTTGTTTTTTTTTTTTTTTGCTGGTGGTAGTCCTGGGTGTTAGCAGATGGTTTGAGTGTCATATATGGTAGTAGAGGAGCTGAGCCTCTTCCATTCCCTTTTGGCTGACCCAGTGTTCTTGCTTCTCCTCTTGCATAGCCCTGTCTAAGGATGAATCAAGGGATAAGAACACAAGGAGATAAAAAGCTCTGAATCATCTTCTGGCTTGGCATAACCAGAAATCCAAAAAAAAAAAAAAAAAAAAAAAAAGAAATAAAGAAAAAAAACAAAAGAAGAGTACAAAAAAAATCTGTGTTTGGGTCAGCATTTCTTTTTCCTTTTCTTTTTTTTTTTTTTAAGACAGGGTCTTACTCTGTCCACCAGTCTGGAGTGCAGTGGCACAAACATAGCTCACCTTGAACTCCCAGGCTCAAGTGATCCTCCCACCTCAGCCTCCCGACTAGCTGGGTCTATAGGCATGCGCCACCACACCCAGATATTATTTTTTATTTTTTGTAGAGATGGGGTCTCACTGTGTTGACTAACTCCTGGGCTCAAGTGATCCTCTGCTTTGGCCTACCAAAGTGCTGGGATTACAGGTGTGAGCCATCATGCCCAGCCTGGCTCAGCATTTCTAAAGATTGCTATACCTCCCCCATCAGGAGGTGATATGGTAAGGTGGGTACAGAGGAAAGGGAGCATGCACTTAAAAGTGAATAAGGCAAGAGGGCTAATGGAGACGAGGAAAGCAGTCAGAATGGGACGAAACTGTGAGTTGAGAGGAGGCCCTGCTGTGCTCCGGCAAGAAAAGGCCAGAAGTTGACAATTCTTGGCAGTTGGAGAAGGAGCAGGAAGAAACGTAGCAAAGCCACACCACGAATTCCTTTAGAGAGCATGGGATGCACTATGGGATGGTGGGATGGATCCAAAGACTCAACTATTTAATGTTTACCACCTTGTGGAATACTGAAATCTATTTATTGAAAACAGAAACATATTATGAAAAACCTGCTTCACCAAAATGAAATGTATGACGTATTTAGAATCATAGAAGTTAGGAAAAACTCATTTGGGAGAAAGGTATGAAGACCTTTTCTTTTACTTAAAAAAAAAAAAAAAAAAAAAAAAAAAAAAAACCTTTAGGGGGAAAATCCATGGTGAAATGTTTTACTCCTGAAGTTTTCTGAAGTATTGCATATCTGTTCCAAATTAGTCCCCAGCAGTTGACTAAACCTATAAGGTTGTCCAAATTGGAATGTGTTTTTAGTTTTGTCATGTTGAATTGTACTATCTGCGGCTGATTAAATAAAAGTTGGCCTGGAAAATTCACTTGAATATGGTAAACATGGGAAAACAACCAAGAAAGCCAACGGAGTTTTGCTACGACAGGTAGCTGTAAAGTCTGCATAAGTTAGGGTGTGACATGCTCTTACTCCCTAAGATATGTTTCTGCTTCCGGGATTTTATGCCCTGATTTGTTGCTAATGTGTCCTGTCCCTTCTTTTTTTGTGCTCTGTTTCTCTTTGATAACATTTGACAAGTTAACCTTGTTTTCTGTATACATTTTTACTCCTTTTTGCTTTTCAATAGGAAAGTTTGTGATAGCGAACTTATTAGGTACACTAAGCAACTCCAAAGAAAGATTAAACATTGAGCACTTACTAACACTCCTTACCTCTTCACCATTGTCAACCATTCCTTTCTCACATTTAGCTGAGCTATTTTCTGAAGTCTTTGGTTTGACATTTTGAAACCTGAAAAAGAGGCAGAACATCCAGTTGCATTTTCTGGCTCAGAGACCTAGCCTTCTGCATGTTGTCAGTCTCCCTCAGCAGAGTTTGGGAACCTAACTCAGACAAGTCCAATTAAGGTGATCACTAATTGACATGTAGTTTAAAAAAAAAAAAAAGGACTCATTATCCAGCCTGCATGCTAGGGAAAAGCAAGACTTCAGTTTGAAGAGTTGAACAAGTGGGACCTTTTGGATGACTCAATGACATCCATTGAGTTGGTTTCTTCTAAAACAGGGATTTTAGATCATTCACAGAAGTGCTCTAATAGACTGCTTAAGGAAATTATTTTGGGCAATTAGCACCTCACAATACCCTTTAAAACTATCTACTATTTTGAATACTTACCTGCCTATTCTTTTTGCACACGGAAATTGCCCTACCTTGCCAGTGATTGGCCCAATGAATCTGTGAGAAGGAATATCGTTAATGGAAACTCACAACTAAGTTTCCAATTCTTGTTGACCTTGCTTGGATTATTAGCACTCATACCTTCCTAACCACATCTCTAAAGACTTCTCTTCTTGTAACTGGGGTGGTAAAAAATAATCCTCAATGGCAAATATTTCTGTTCACTGCTCATTTACTTACTTTTCCGTCCCTCACCCTAATACGAATTCTCTTTGTGGAAAAGTAGGGTGGAGCAGATTCTATTCTTTGGTATTCTTTTAAAACCATTTGCTGATGGAATATAATGTAAGATACTCATCAGTGAGGTTTGGTTAATGACTAAGAGAAATCGCCTGTTTCCCCCTTGGAGGTAGTTCCATTGTGGGGCTAAATTAGCTCAGAGTGAGAAGAATTCTGTAACTATCTCAACTAGACCTCTCTCCTTTAAACATAAGGATAGCAGGATAAGGACCAAAATAAAAGTAGAAATAGCCAAGCTATGTAGTTTGTAGGTCAACTGGCTATGGCGTACTACAAATAATCCCCAAATTCATGGTGAAATCCCATTCAAGGATGGCTACATTCCACTGTTGCTGGCCACCAACTGCATTATTAAATCAGGTCAGAGGTCTTAAAAACAGTCCCAAGTGGAGCAGGTGACCCATGATGAAAAGACCAAAATTCATCCCAACTTAACATCTTAAAATTTGTGCCCTTTTAATATGTTTTATTGCATTGTTACGTAATAATTAATAATACAGTATAATATTTATTGTAGCATTTTCAGAATGATTCTTTGATACCTAAAAGGAAGCACAGAATCCCAGATACTTTTCTTCAGGGCCAATAAGGCATAGAACTATATGAAAAGTGCTTCTTTACCACAGCATGTCTGGAACAAGGTGGTGCTTTCTTTTTGACTAAAAGTTCCTCTCATTGTTGCATGAAATATAGACCAAGATCTGGTTTTGATCCAGGGACAAACAGTCCATTAAAATGCGTTTAATGAGGGTCTACTCTGTGACCAGCACCATTCAAAGTGCTGTGGGCTATGCACTAAGTTAATATAAAGTGGTATTTATAACTTAGTTGGGCAAACAAGACTACATACTTGGTTTGTTTCTTTTGGCTCATTGCTGTTGACTACTAATTGGCCAACCCAAGGCAGGTATTCATGCAAGGCCAAATTCAGTGTCTCTGAATAGTCCACGTTCTGCAGGGGGTTCAATTCAATCCAAATATTCTTTCCTTAGCACACAGTGTGTGCTCAGCTCCATTCTTGAGCCTGTATGGGAAACAAGAAAAGACTGGTAAGTGCTATTAAAAACATCGAAAATGCACAAGACAACATGTTGATGCTTGCCCTTAGAAATTAAGTTTATTTGACAAATGAGGGGAGATGGGAGAAGGTGATTATCTGATGTAAAATAATAACAACAAATACATGCTAATATATTAGGTAAGTCACTTTATGTCTTGGGTTCTCAATTTCCTTATCTGCAAAATGGAAAGTATTAAGTAAATGATTTCAAGGTGACATTCTAAATCCATGATAGTGATGAGACTTACCTATAAGGAGATCTGAAATAAAATTAATTCACATGTGTCCTTAGTAGGCAAAAGGTGGAGAAGCAGCCATCTTTCAGTTTTCTTCTCTCAACAAAGCCATGCTCATCCATAGATTAGGCCTGAGACGCTGGGGAAAGGGTGTGTATATACTGGAGGTGGAGGGATTGCTATACTTTTTGATATAGAACAAGCTGATAAGGTAGAACCCGCCATTTAGAGAAAAGAAAGGTCAATGAGCCTTGGAGATGTTTCCTAAAGGATGTGGAGCTTGAGCAGAACCTCAAAGGATGGTGTATGAAGTAGTCTCATTGGAAGATTATTTGTTGTTGTTAGGTAGGAAGAAATAGAAGCAGGTAGATAGCATAGAATCACATTATAGGAACCTTGACAATTAAGTAGAGTTTGAAAAGACCTCTATCAGCCCAATTTCCTATGAAGCCCACAGGTTTAGTGGAAAGATCTGCATTTGTGTTGATAGTATTGATAGGTGATTGTTTAAGGTTTGTTTGTATTTAGGGTTTAGGGATTATTAGAGTTTAGGGTTTATGTCTAGCTTGATTGTTAGACAAATCCTAAAGATGACTGTCTATTATTTTATTTCTTTATTTATTTAATTTTTGAGACACAGTTTCTCTCTGTCGCCAGGCTGGAGTGCTGTGGCGCGATCTCGGCTCGTTGCAGCCTCGGCCTCCCTGGCTCAAGCAATTCTCCTGCCTGAGCCTCCTGAGTAGCTGAGACTACAGGCAAGAGCTGCCAGATCTGGCTAATTTTTTGTATTCTTAGTAGAGACGGGGTTTTACTATGTTGGCCAAGATGGTCTTGATCTCTTGACATTGTGATTCACCCTGCCTCAGCCTCCCAAAGTGCTGGGATTACAGGCATGAGCCACTGCCCCAGCCTTGTCTAGAGTTTATGACAAGACTGAGATAAGCCCTGAAAGTTCCCTTCTAGGGAAATAGACTAATAAGCTTTTTACCCTTTTCTCACCTTTAGTTTTTCCAGAATTGTAAGTCCAGTTTATGTATATGTTGAAACTAAAATAACAATGAGCTGTCAAATGGGGCAGTATATGTCTTGGGCTGCTAGCCTGCAACCCAGGCTGAGAAACAAATCACACAGACACAAAAAAAACTACATTCAGAATAAGAATGGAAAAATCTGGTGTACACTACCTTTAAGAACATCAGGAAATCATAGTTTGGTGAGGAAGGCAAAAATCTTTGTCATGGGAACTTTCCATTTTGAAAATATCTTAATTATTCTCTTCTGGATTCTGGAGAGGGTATTTGTGATGAACAGGCAATCTAGAATGCTGAGGTGTTCTATGTTGGAGACAGAGAATGAAAAGGCCAAAGACAGACATGCTTAAATAAAATCTGCCAATGTCTTATATTTTTCAGCTTATGACTTACACACATACCCCCCCAACACACACACACCTTCACCATTTCTTAATCTATCTCTACCTAAGCCAATGTTTTCACTGCATTCTTCAAACACAGTGAGCATTTTTTCTTATTCCTCATACTTAAAATGCTGTCCCCATCTCTTCAGCCATTTGAATCTTCTTTCTTTAGGTTACTATGCAGATCATTCCTCTAAAGAGAAGACTTTCTAGATTAATACAGTCCCAAATTTCAGACTATAGGCATTGGGTTTTGTACATATCATTGTATAGTAACTTGTAGTTCTATTTGCACTTTGCTTATGTGCGGGTCTTGTCTGTCTCCTAAGTTGTGAGCCTCTTAAAAGTGGAAATGTAAATTTTAGACATATTTGTGCCCCCCTCCAAGTGCTTTGTATCTCATGCATTCAAAACTAGCATTTGCTTATTTCAATATATTTGCTCAACATTTATGACATAATAGACACTCTCCTAGGCAATGAGAACAAAATATAAATCAGATGTAATTCTTGAGCTTCTTAAGGAGCTCACAGTTTAGTCAGGAAGAGAGACAAACGGTTGATTGCAGCAGAATGGAATGACAAATTAGATCTAAGTTTAGGGGACCATGGAAGCAAAAAGGAAGGGGACTTAACCCAGACTGAGAAGAGACTGGGAGAGATTTAGAACTATTGCCTAAACTGAGCTGGGGACGATGAGTGTGAATTAACCAGGTGATGAGAGAAGAGACATTTGAGAAAGAAGGAGAAAGAAGCACAGGGGAAGGGTAGTGAGAGGTGAGACAAGAGAAGTAGACAGGATCTAAATCCTAAAATGAAGTATTTGATAGAAATTTTGTAGGTCATTCTGAGTCATGAAGAGCTATCAGGAGATTTTAAATGAGATATAATCTCCTTATTGAACAATATATATTTTAAAAATATAAAAATAGTGTTTTGTGAACTACAGATTGGAAAGACATAAGAACTATAGATTGGAAATATGCAAAGAGGTCTTTGAGAAGTCTGACAGTACTGAGGAGGGGCTGAGAAATTATAAGGGCCTGTAGCCATTATAAATTAGTGCCATTCACTCCTGTCTCCTAGCCCTGGATGATTTATTCAAAGGTGGCCAACCAGATTATACAAGGAATTTGAAAGTTTGATAAAGACACACAGAGCTGAAAGATGATTGCACATGAGTTACCTCATGTGGTGTCCCAGGCTGGAAGACTGTGCCCTACCTTCTGAGGGCCCCAGAGTTGCCCCAGATCTAGTCCTTCCTGAAGCATGGCTATTCAATTTTCCCTTCAGTTCTGTGAGCTTTCCTAATATTCTTTCAAACAAATCCTTTTTTTCTCAGTGTTTATTTCTGTGGTTTACGAGCAAAACACAAACAAACATTAAACTAATATAGGCTCTGAAGCAGGGTGTCCAATCTTTTGGCTTCCCTGGGGTACGCTAGAAGAATTGTGCTGGGCCGCACATAAAGTACTCTAACACTGACAATGGCTGACAGGCTAAAACAAATCACACCAAAAAAACAAAACAAAACAAAAAACACCTCATAATGTTTGCAATTTGCATGGGCTGCATTCAAAGCCATCCTCGCCACATATGGCCTGTGGGTCACAGGTTGGACAAGCTTGCTCTAAAGCAAGGTAGTAGCAGTGAAGAGGGATAGAAAAGGATACCTGGAAGATGTTAGGAGGGTACAATTAATAGAACTTGGTAACTAGTTGAATACTTGGGATACAGAATATAATCACATTTTTAGCTTGGTTACCTGAGTCAATGGAGGTGCAAGTTACCAAATTAGAGAATAAAGGAAATGGAGCAAGTTTGGGGGATAAATGATGAATTTTGTTTTTGGTCTGTTGAATATGAGGCAGATGTGAGGATATCATCTGATAAATGGCTTAAAATATGGGTCTGGAGCTCAGGAGGGACACATTTGGTACTATAGAGTGAATGTTTATGTCCCCTGTCTCCCTAAATTCATATGTTGATACTGAGTCCCTAATGATGAGGGTATTAGGATGTGGAGCCTTTGGGGGTCGATTAGTGCCCTTATAGAACAGCCTTCAAAAGCACATCTTTGCCCCCTGTCCTATGCGAGGACACAGCAAAAACAGGTCCACACCAGACACTGAATGTGCCAGCACCTCGATTTGGACTTCCCAGCCTCTGGAACTGCGAGAAATAAATTCCTGTTGTTTATAAGCCACCCAGTTTATGGTATTTTGTTACAGCAGCCCGAACAGACTAAGCTATTTGGGTAGGATTATACATTTGGAGGTCAGCCTCAAGTGTTATGTGCTAATTGAAGCCACTGGACTAGATCAGATCAAGCAGAAAAAATGCTGGACTAACAAGAGACTCAAGCATAGAACCAAGCCCCAGACGACACAGACATCCAAGCAAGAGCATCATAAATAAATTTTGTGGAGACCACAGAAAAGGAGTGGCCAGAGATGGGAAGAGAACCAGGAGGAAGCGGCCACAGATGGGATGATATCATTGGAAGGGATGCTATTATGAAAAAGGAAACAAACTCTTTAGCTTAAGGTAGCAACTTTTGAAGGTATAGAAAAAGATTAAAACTTGCAAAAACAAACAAAAGCTTAATAAGCAATCCAATGCTGCCAAGTATAAAGCAGATAAATCTAGACAGAAAAAACCCTACGGGGCTTGAGTTCACGGAAATGGCAGGGTTTGCTTGAGGAAACAGAGACCATCCGGTAAAATAGAATGTGAATTCCCACTGGTTGTCTTCTTTTTTCAGAGATATAGGAGCTGCACTGATCAAAACTCAGGGCAATTCTCCTTTCCTACTACTCCTTGGGTCTTGATCTATGACAGGGTCTGAGAACAGCTCCTCCATATCCCTTCACCTCCATAACTTTCCACATTCAGGTGGAGACTTCACACCCCAGGTAACAGCTGGGTGGGGAGGACACAGTGCATTTGGAGAGATGTGACCTCAGAAGCAAAGAGAAGGAGGGAATGGCACAAGATGGGAGCAACTGTTTTTTGAACAGTTTTGTCCTCTTTTCTCATTTCTTTTTTTCATTTTTCTTTCTTTTTTTTGAGATAGAGTCTTGCTCTTCTCACCTGGGCTGAGTACAGTGGTATGATCTTGGCTCACTGCAACCTCCGCCCCTCAGATTCAAATGATTCTCCTGCCTCCTCAGCCTCCTGAGTAGCTGGGACTACAGACGATTGCCACAATGCCCGGCTAATTTTTTGTATTTTTAGTAGAGACAAGGTTCCACCATGCTAGCCAGGGTGGTCTCAATCTCCTGACCTTGTGATCCACCCGCCTTGGCATCCCAAAGTGTTGGAATTACAGGCATGAGCCGCCACGCCCAGCCTTCTCTTTTCTCATTTCTAACTGTTTATAAAATAGAAATGGCTACCTTTACAGAAGTATTGATATGGAAAGTAAGACGTTGGAAAGAAGCATCTACCCTTCATTCTTTCTGCAGTGAAAAGGTGGTGGCACAGAATGCTGAGCAAGGGTAGTTTGGCCCATTTTTGGTTCACTCTTTCCTTCCTCCCTCCCTCCCTCCCTCCCTCCCTCCCTTCCTTCCTCCCCATCCCTCCTTTATTTTGAGGCAGGGTCTCATTCTGTTCATCCAGGCTGAAGTGCACTGGTGTCATTATAGCTCACTGCTGCTTCAAACTCCTGGGCTCAGGCAACCCATCCACCCCAGCCTCCTGAGTAGTTGGGGCTAAAGGCACACACTGCCATGCCCAGTTATTTTTTTTTAAGGGACAGGGTCTCACTATGTGAAGACAGTTTGTTAATGTTACAGGTTTCCAGCCTGACAGGGAGATGTAATGTCACAACTCACAATTGAATGTCATAATTTAGTCTACCCATGAAAGGTGGACCCTCGAGCAACTAGCACTAATTTATTGTCATCTTAAAGCTTCTCCCCAACCTCATACATTTTCTTTAATTTTTAATTATTGTGGATATGTAGTAGGTGTATATATTTATGGGGCACATGAAATGTTTTGATACAGGCATGCAATGCATAGTAAGTAATCACATCATAGAGAATGGGGTATCCATCCCCTCAAGCACTTATCCTTTGTGTTACAAACAATCTAATTATATTCTCAGTTATTTAAAAATGTACAATTATTAGTGACTACAGTCACCCTGTGTGCTATTAAACAGAAGGTCTTATTCATTCTTTCTAATTATTGTTTTTTTTTTACCCATCATCCTCACATTTTTTTAATTTTCTTGGTCCTTCTAGTTTTTCCAAATAACTCCAGACTCGGCATGGTGTGATAACCAGCAATAGCAATACAGGATCATACATAATTGTACTATCCTATACATCTTCTCATATATTAAAATTTCACACCAAACTACATATTGAATTATAATACTGGCAAAAGCTTTAAAAATATCAATATTAGGCTGGGCACAGTGGCTCATGCCTGTAATCCCAGCACTTTGGGAGGCCAAGGCAGGTGGATCATGAGGTCAGGAGTTAGAGACCAGCCTGGCCAATATGGTGAAACCCTGTCTCTACTAAAAATACAAAAATTAGCTGGGCATGGCGGTGTGCACCTGTAGCCCCAGCTACTCGACAGGCTGAGGCAGGAGAATCACTTGAACCCAGGAGGCAGAAGTTACAGTGAGCCGAGATTGTGTCACTGCACTCCAACCTGGGCGACAGAGTGAGACTCTGCCTCAAAAAAAAAAAAAAAAAAAAATCAAAAAACAACAACAAAAAAATCCCACATCAATATTAGTAGAGTTAGGGTGATGGGGATTAGGAGTGAGAAGGAAGCTCTTCAGGAAGTCTCCTCTGTCTCACTCTCCCACTTTGCTTTCTCTCAAGAAGGAAATTCTTATCACTGTTTGGGCTTTGGTTCTTTGGGGAA